TCAGCTCACTACCCTCACCTCTCCCACCCCACCCCTGCCCTGCAGCCACACCCACCTACCTGCTCTTCTGCAGACCTGGCAAGTCCTACCGTTCATCCACATCTTTGTACAGGCTGTCCTTTTATCTGGAAAGCTCTTCTCTCTGCCGTCTTCCTCAAAGATCTGGTGTCAGCTTCACCTCCTCTAGGAGACCTGCCCTCACCAACCAGGTATTCACGTCTACCTGAATCTTCTGTAATGAAAACAATCCCACTTTCTGCAGCCCACCCTCCAGGGACCCAAGCCTCAGCCTTGACTCTTCCTCACTGTGTGTCCCTAGTCCTTCTGAGTTTCAGTTTCTCTTTTGGTTCCTCCCCATTCAGGGCATCCCACCTGTGATTCCCAACCTCATGGGTTATTATGAGAACCAGATACATTGAAAGGAGAGGCCAGGGTTAAGAACAAATGGACAGGACAGGCCTGGGTTCAAATTCTGTTTCTCCTAACCAGCTGCATGACCTTGGGCCAGGCACCTCCAGTCTCCCAGCTGACAGTTCCCCACCGGAGAGCTGGAAATCTAGCAGCACTACCAGGGTGGTTGGGAGGATTCATGGGGTTGTGGAAGGTACAGCGCTTAACAGAGCACCTGGCACGTGGACAGCTCTCTGTGGGTGTCAGTCATGATGGTTAAACCAGGTAGAGAAAGGACTGGTAAATTCTAACGTGCTATGGAAGTGGGACATAGTCTCATGATTTCCCAGAGACTCGCACAAACCCTAGATAGGAAAAAGCCCCACTCCTGCTCACCATCAGCTGGGGTCACTAAACTCAGGGCTCCTCTCATTTTCTGAGGACAGGTAAACACCCATCCAAGGCCCTGCTTACAGCAATTGGGATTCTGTGGGTCTCGTCGCCCCCAAATCTGCTAAGTGCCCCAGGGAGTCTGGAGACGGTGGTGGGAATCCACACTGAGACACGACCATGTGCTGCACTGTGCCCTCCCACCGAAGCTGTGTTTCTGTGGCTGGGTGGCGAGGCTCGGCCCCTGGGTGCTCTGCCTGCAACCCCTGAAGCCTGGAGCAGCTGCTCGAATTCATGCAAAGGAAGGCGCCCAGGTTTGCCCTGTCTATTTATAGCTTATTTATGAGGAAGGAAAAACAAGGGCCCAGTTGCCTTAGCAACCAGGAGCATCATGGGCTGCTTTCTCTGCAGTGGGAAATTGGCCAAGTCTCCTTGTGGGGGGCACCCCTGAATGTGTGTGTGTATCTCAACAGAGGACAGGGGTGAACCTTCTAAGACCTGTCCCACGCTGGATTCCTAGCAGCCTACAGGTTGCGGGGAGGGAGCCTGCCAGGCCCTTGGAAACCCCTCCCTGATGCAGAGGGCCGTGCACAGCTGAATTCTCTGTGGAAAGGCACACTCTGGTCTCTTGGTCTCGGTGCTGACTCCTGTCCTCTGGGTGCCCACCCTGCTGCCTCAGACCCTCTTGGGAGCCCTTTCCTGGCTGTGCTCTGGTACATGTCCCTTAGGGCATTTAGGGCAGGGAACTGAAGTTATAGTTTCCAGACCAGTGCCCCTTAAGGCTGTGATCTGGCCCAGAGCCTGGTACCGAGGAGGGGCTTAATAAATACTAAATGAAAGAATGAATGAATGGAGTGCTTTCATTTATGGTGTGTGTCCTTACTCAGTATGCACAAGTTAAGGGACACACAGTATGTAATGTTCTTTCATTTTACAGACCAGGAAACTGAGATTCAGACAGATGAAGAGACCAGCCCACAATCACACAGGTGGGAAATAGCTGGGCTGGATGAGAATCCTTGAGGAGGAAACCTTGCTTTTGCTCTGGCAAAGCCCCAGGGAACACGGGAACTTGGGTTTCAGCTGGGCCATAATTGTTGGGCGCCGGGGAAGGGCAACATGGTGCTGTGGCTGGTCTGGGGCTGAGAGGCATGTGGTTTGAATTTTGACTCTGCCACTTATCAGCTGTGTGACCTTGAATCATCGACTTTCCCTCTGTGGGCCTCAGTTGCTTCATCTGTAAAGTGGGGCAGTGATGCCTGGTTCTTGGGGACTGGTAACTTCCGGAGGGCAGGCACCGTGTCTGTCTCTTGATCATCTGTTTTCCCGGTGTTGGCACAATCTTAGGTGCCTAAGATAAGATGATCATGATTTCCTGTATATAAAGTAGATTGGGTGCTCTCAGGGAAGGTTGGTTGCTGCTCCATTATTAGGGAACTGAGACACAGAGAGCTTGGTGGTTCCCCTGAGATCACACAGCCAAATCCAGAGCAGAGGTGGTTGCTTTACTGGTCTGTCAGGTTTGCCTGGGACAAACCATTGCTGGGGATTAAATGGGACTGGGTCCGGGCCCTGGGGAGGGCATTCTGGACTGGGCTGCAGTCCCAGGGGGAAGGAGTCATGTTGGACAGGGAGGCTGAAGCAGGGGGTCTCTGAGTACCAGGGACCTAGAGCTGCAGGTACTGATCTGGAGGTGCTGAGGCCCCGTCCTAGGCTGTGTGGAGTTTGCCTGGCTTTGGGCTGGGCTTCTGAAGGTCCCGGGCTGCCTGGAGGCTCTCTGTCGCCCTCTGCTGGGCCACCTCTGGAGGCTCGAAGACCGGCAGTACCACCTCTTCAGTTGTCTGGGTGTGAAACCCATACCTAAGAGATCCAGGTAAGAAGAGGAATGCCCCAGGACAAACCGAGATCACAGATCATTTCCACATCCTTCCCTGGCTCCTCCCGCTCCCACCCAGATGCTATGGCAAAACACAGGCGCCCTGCCCCCACCCTCTGGGGGCTGCAGGCTGCTATGCTTCCTTGGAGGCCATCATATTCATCACTGTTTCCTGAAAACAATGCACACCCAGGGTTTTTTGTTTGGTTTTGTTTGTTCCATACCCCAAGCCCTCGCTCATATTCTGTCCCTCCTGCCTTCTCATTCCATGAGTGCGCTCTGTCCTTCTGAGCCTCTAGGCTTTTGGGGGCTTCTCTTCTCCCTGCAACCATTTCATGGTTTTGGAGGCTAAAGTCTGAAATCAAGGTGTTGGCAAGATTAGCTCCTTCTGAGGGCTGTGCCAGGCCTCTCGCCTGGTGGGTCTGGCGGCTTGCTGCCAATCATTGGCATTCCTTGGCATCTCTGCCTTCATGTCCACATAGCTCTTGCTGTGTGAATGTCTGTCGGCAAATTTCCCCTTTTTATAAAGACAACAGTCATACAGATTAGGATCTACCGTAATGACCTCATTTTAACTCTATCGCCTCTGTAAAGCCTTATTTCCCAATAAGGTCACATTCTGAGGTACTGGGGGTTGTGACTTCAACATAAGAATTTTAGGGTGGCACAATTCAGCCCCTAACACGAGGAGAAGAATTACATCCGGTCCATCTTGTGTTCATTCCCTTGGGGCTGAAACCAGTACAGGAGTGAGAGAGTTTGATGAATGTTACAGAAGAAGTTCTTCATCCTCAGTTTATTTGCTGACCTCCACAGTGCCCAGGGCATTTCAAACTATGACCTGTCCTGTCTAGGTCTTATGGACATGAGTCTCTGTCATCAGGAAATGGACTTCTCTAGAGCAGAGCCTAGATCTTCTTACTTTGACATTCACCAAAGGAGACACTCAGACTTTTCCATCAGTAGATTCCTGTGGAAGCAGGTAGGTGAGGCTTTACTTTCCTAATTCTGCACAAAAGACCCAGAAAAGTAATGAAAGAGAATTTAACTTTTGACAAATAATTATTGAACACACAGTTATGACAGACTCTGTAACTTCATTCCACCATTACTGAAGCTGTCGCTTACTTGCTATGAAATGAATGTATTAACATTAATAACTATTTATTAAAAAGCTGCTATATTCCTGGGATACATGCTTTTCATGGACAATTTTCAATTCTCACAGCAGCCTTTTACAAATGGAAATAAAATGAACCTAACATAAAGTTCACCATTTAAAAATGTGCAGTTCAGTGGGTTTTAGTTTATTCACAATGTCATGCAACCATTACCACAGCCTAATTCCAGAACATTTTCATCACCTCAAAAAGAGACTTCGTGCCCATCGGTCACTCCCCATTTTTTCCTCCCCCGATTTCCTAGCAACCACTAATCTAGTTTCTAACTCTATGGATTTGCCTAGTATGGATTTCAGAGAAACAGAACCATACTATACTCAGTTTTTTGGTTTTTTTTTTTTTTGTGCCTAGTGTCTTTCACTTAGCACAATATTTTCAAGGTTCACTCCTGTTGTAGCATGTATCAATGCTTCCTTCCTTTTTATGGTCGAATAATATTCTGTTGTGTGGACGTACCACATTTTGCTTATCCATTCATCAGCTGATGGACATTTGGGTTGTTTCCATTATTTGGTTATGCTGAATAATGCTGCTATGAATATCTATGTACAAGTTTTTGTGAACATATGCTTTTGATTCTCTTGGATATATACTTTAGAGACAAATTGCTGGGTCTATGTTTAACTTTCTGGGGAACTACCAAATGGTTTCCTATCAGGCATGTATGAGGGTTCCAGGTTCCCCACATCACCACCAACTCTTGTTATTTTCTGTCTTTTTTGATTATAGCCATCCTAGTGGGTGTGCACTGGTATCGCATTGTGGTTTTCATTTGCATTTCCCTAATGACTAATGATGTTGAGCATCTTCTCACGTGCTTCTTTTCTCAGAAGCCTTTTGAGGTAGCTCTTCTCTCCATTTGGCGGCAGGGGAAGGAGACTGAGAGTTGAGAGGACTTGCTCAGTGCAAGCAGGCGGTGGGCCTGTGCCTGGAACGTGGTCGTGTCTGTCTCCTAAGCCCCATGGAGTCTCATTAACAGGAGAAAACAGTTCTGGTCTGGTTCACAGGCGTCTGGCCTCCCATGCGACCAACTGGGACAAGTCCTTTCCCCGCTCCGGGCGTTAGTTACTCCTCCGCGCCACTTGGGGCGAAATACTCCAAGCACGTGCGCGCTCCTCGAGGAGCCCATGACTCCAAGATTAATGGCCCTGGCGCGGAGTTTGCCCCGCCCCTCCAGCCCAGGTCGCCGCAGGCGCCGGAAGTGCTCGGCTCTCTGCTCGTTTCTGCCGGCGCTCCGCCGGAAGTACTTTCTCGGGAAGATGGCGGCTGTGTCAGTCTACGAGCGGCCGGTTGGAGGTTTCTCTTTTGATAACTGTCGCAGGTGCGGCCGTGCCCGGGGCCAGGTTCCGGGCGGGCGTGGGAGTGCGGTGCCGGGGTGGGAGCTGGGCCGCGGTCTGATTTGGGAAGTCCAAACGAAGGGTGGACGGCGGGGCCTGCGGCCTGTGCCCCGCGGCCCGTGTGACTCAGGGGAATGAGGGCCTGAGAGTGGGTTTCTCTTGGAGGCCGAGCCCGCGCTTCCCCTTGCCCAGCGCACCCTACCAGTCTCCGTCTCTGTCTCCTGAGGCGAGATGCGGCCCCTCTCCGACGCTGGGCACGCCGAAAAACGCGACACTGGTCCTGATCTTGGGGGGACTCAGTGAACGGATGGGCTTGAAAGCGAATAGTAGCTTTTCTTTTCCTGAGTTCCCTATTAGACACTCTTGGTGCCAGGGCCGCGCGACGTGGTCCAGCCCTTCCATGCTTCATTCTCTGCTTTTCTTTCAGAAATGCCGTCTTGGAAGCCGATTTTGCGAAGAAAGGGTACAGGCTTCCAGCGGCCCGGAAAACTGGCACGACCATCGCGGGGGTGGTCTATAAGGTAAGCCGGCACAGCCGGTGACTGAACTGATTACAGGAACCAGGCCGCTTGGCGTCCTTTTCCTTCTCCGAGCTCTGTCAGGAAGGGCTCATGTTTCAGAATACGTCGGGAAAGGTCCCTCAGGATTTGTCGGGAGGTTTTGTGTGCTTACCAACCGTTTATATTCTTTCCCCACTTTTTAGAATTTTGGCAGGAGATCAGTACTTTTCTGTCTTGAGATACTACGTTGGGAACCAGGGTTATGTTGCTGGGAAAACACAGGATTTCGGATCAGACAGGTCTAACCATTTAACTTTGATGCTGCTTCCAACTTTGGGCAAGTCACTTTCCTTCTCACAGCCACACTTCACCGTCCATCAAATGGACCGAATAACTCCTGCCTTAAATTGTGGAAAGGGTCGAAAGAGATAATGGTTATTGTTGTTAAAGAGTGATGTCTTTTAAAAAGAAATCGACGGAGGTGGCTATTCTAATGGGAGGATTTCTGCATCTTAATCCAGACTTTCCTCATACTAGGTCTGTGATTTGTAAGGAATTCACTAAATCTGTGAGCCTCATTTGAAAACAGGAATGATAATTCCTACCACCTACTTGGCCTTCAACCTATAACGTTAATTAACAAGGCTTTTCTTGAATTCTGAAAGTACAGCACAATATTTTTGGTAGGAGTTTCAGTGGGGGGTGGAGGTTTGGGGAAAACAGGGGCTGGCCAACATTGTTTGTCCTAAACTAGAGTAGAGAGCTGTGGTTTATATATGTGAAATTGTTTTAAGTGTATTTTTTTTAAAAATAGGATGGCATAGTTCTTGGAGCAGATACAAGGGCAACTGAAGGGATGGTTGTTGCGGACAAGAACTGTTCAAAAATACACTTCATATCTCCTAACATTTAGTAAGTATCAGTTAGTTTGAATAGCTCTTATATTTTCAAACATGTCACGGTTAAAATGGAATTTACTTTGTTGTTCACTGAAACCTGTTGTTTAACTTGTATTTTCTTTTTTATCTCCCTTAAGTGATATTTTCATCTGCCTGTCACCTAAGCTGGTCATCCGCAAGTTCTCCTTTGCTTTAGTCTTTAATTCTCTTGGTCTCCAGTTCTGCTTTCTGTGTGCCTCTTGAAACCATTCCCTCCGCTAAAGCCTTAGTTCACATGCTTGTTTCTCATCTGGACTATTGCAGTTGTCATTTAAATGATCTCTCTGCCTTTGGTCTCTTTATTATCTGCCCTTTTGCTATATTGGATTTTGTAAAACAGATCTGATTATGTCCCTTTCCTCTTAAAAAAATATATATATATTTTTAAACATATGATTATGCTTTTTTTTTTTTTTTTTAAGATTTTTTATTTATTTATGAGAGAGAGAGAGAGCATGAGAGGGGAGAGGTCAGAGGGAGAAGCAGAGTCCCCGCTAAGCAGGGAGCCCTATGTGGGACTCGATCCTGGGACTCCACGGTCACAACCTGAGCTGAAGGCAGTTGCTTAAGCAGCTGAGCCACCCAGGTGCCCTAAAAATATTTCAAGAGACTTCACATTTCCACACTGCTTTCAGAATAAAATTGGAACTCTGTAGCATGATATGTAAGATCTTGCCCAGTGTCAGAAAAATTTACCTTTTCACCTTATTTAGCTGCCATTCCCCTGTGTTCCAGTTATACCCGGACTGTTCCTGTTCCTCTCATCTCCAAGCTCTTTCCCCTTTGCTTTTGCCAGTCCCTCTGCCTAGAATTGCCCTTTCCTTTTTGTTTATATGGTGGTGTTTTATTCTTTCAAATCCAGCTCACGTGAGACCTCTAAGATCAGAATTAATTGCTGTCTCTCCTGTTTCCCATAGCGTTTTGTACTTATGCTGCTATATCGTATTATACGAGGTTTTAGAATTTTTGCCTTCTTTTGTCTCCTTCACTCAACTGTGAAATCAAGTGCTAGGATTGTGTCATATTTTCTTTATTCTCAGCACTTTGTCATGACTGGTACCTGGTAGTAAATATTTGGTAAATGTTAAATTACAAGGCTTTTAATATGCCTTGGCTCTTTGGTACAACTTGAATATATTTTTAGGATTAGTAAAATGCAGACTGTGTTAGAAGCACAGAAGCTAATGATTTGAAATGTTCTATTGGGCCACAGAAAATATGTTTACACAGGACTAGATGCATATTCTCAGTTTCATGTTTATTTAAGATTGGTTAGACAGGGTAGTTACAGTGCAGAATATACTCAGAAACATCTCTCTGTGTACCTGAACTTAGTGGAAGTTATCCAGGAAGCTCCACTTCTAATTGACCCCTTTGGTAATTGAATTTCAGCTAAGTTTCTGATTGTATTTTTTAGTTGCTGTGGTGCTGGGACAGCTGCAGACACAGACATGACAACCCAGCTCATTTCTTCCAATTTGGAGCTTCACTCCCTCTCCACTGGCCGCCTTCCCAGAGTTGTGACAGCCAATCGGATGCTGAAGCAGATGCTTTTCAGGTAAGGTTCCAGGTGGGGATTTGTTTGTTTCTTTTTTTTTTTGTAATTTTATTTAAATCAATTATCATATAGTGTGTTACTAGTTTCAGAGGTAGAGTTCAGTGATTCATCAGTTGCATATAACACCCGGTGCTCATTACGTCATGTGCCTTCCTTAATGCCCATCACCCAGTTGCCCCATCCCCCTACCCACCACCATTCCAGCAACCCTCAGTTTGTTTCCTAGAGTTAAGAGTCTCTTATGGTTTGTCTCCTCTCTGATTTTGTCGTATTCTAGTTTTCCGTCCCTTCCCCTAGATCCTGTTTTGTTTCTTAAATTCCACATGAGTGAAATCATAATTGTCTTTCTCTAATTGACTTACTTCACTTAGCATAATACCCTCTAGTTCCATCCACGTCATTGCAAATGGTAAGATTTCTTTCTTTTTTTTTTTTTTGATGGCTGAGTAATATCCCATTGTATACATATACCACATCTTTTTTATCCATTCATCTGTCGATGGACGTCTGGATTCTTTCCATAGTTTGGGTACTGTGGATTTTGCTGCTATAAACATTGGGGTGGAAGTGCTGCTTCGGAACACTCTGTTTGTTCCAGGATGGGGATTTCTGTAGTATCTTTTTCTCCTATCTTAGATTTTCAGCTGAGGGGATCCTGGAAGCTAGAGAAAAAGCATTCAGAAATACCATTTTATTCTAGAAATCAGTTGTTACCATTTTAATATCAGAAGGCTTTTGATGATGTATTTGAATTTTTGGGATCTAGTTTTTTTTTTTTTTCTCTTCAAGATTTTATTTATTTATTTGACAGAGAGAGAGAGATAGCAAGAGCAGGAACACAAGGGGGGGAGTGGGAGAGGGAGAAGCAGGCTTCCCATGGAGCAGGAAGCCCGATGCGGGGCTCAATCCCAGGACCCTGGGATCACGACCTGAGCCAAAGGCAGACGGTCAGTGACTGAGCCACCTAAGCGCCCCAGGATCTGGTTTTTTTTTCCCCCCTATGAATAAATCACATGTGACCACAGTCATTTCTGGAAGCATAGGGCATTACTGGATTAAAAATTTCTTTTATTTATAGTAAGAAAGTTAGAACTGGACAGAACCTTTGGTTCATCTTGTGAAAACACATAGACAAAAACAATTGTTTTTTTCTCCCTCTTTTAGGGGCAAAATAACAGTGAAATGAAAAATTGTATTTGTAGTTGACTGTGAGTGATATAATAACATTAATATTAACGCACATTTATTTTTCTCTTTGTGCCAGACCCTGTGCTTAGTTCTTTATGCACGATCTCATTTTACCCTTTGATAGAGCAGCCCCTCTGAGATGGGGGCTGTTAACATCTCCAATATTTTTTTTTTTTTAAGGGTTCCCAAGTCTTTTTTTTTTTTTAAGATTTTATTTATTCAGGGGCACCTGGGTGGCTCAGTCGTGAAGCGTCTGCCTTCGGCTCAGGTCATGACCCAGGGTCCTGGGATCGAGCCCCGCATCGGGCTCCCTGCGACGCGGGAAGCCTGCTTCTCCCTCTCCCACTCCACCTGCTTGTGTTCCCTCCTCACTGTCTCTCTCTCTCTGTCAAATAAATAAATAAAATCTTAAAAAAAAAAAAAAGATTTATTCATTTGACAGAGAGGGAGAGCACAAGTAGGCAGAGCGGCAGGGAGAGGGAGAAGCAGGCTGTCCGCTGAGCAGGGAGCTGGACGAGGGGCTTGATCCCAGGACCCTGAGATCATGACCTGAGCTGAAGGCAGCCGCTTAACCGACTGAGCCATCCAGGCGCCCCAACATCTCCAATATTTAAGTGAAGCTGAGGTTTACAGAAGTGTAGTTGCCTGCCTGATCTGGCCTTCACACCCTGCTGACTTCCACCCACAGTGCTCTTAGTTTGGTCTCCCTTTCATCCTTAATCAGATCATCACTTTACATTTGTGTAGTTTTCCTCTTTTTCAAATTCTAAGTCTGTTTTCTGATTTGCTCCTTGTAGAGAGAAGAGGGGCAGTGTATTAGAGCAGAACCAGGAAATAGCCCGGACATTCAGTGGTGGGTTAGAATATTGGTTTCTCCTTTTGGGACCTGCATTACCTTTAACAGATTCTCTCTTTTTCCTTCTTTGTAGATTTGTAGAATCTAGAATCATGGTGCTTTTTTTTTTTTTTTTTTTTTGTAGTTGACTGGAGATCTTATTCTGGTTCTCATCATTCATTAAGCAACCTAGAGAAAACATTTTCTTTATCTCTGTCCCAAGCAGCAGCAGCTGCAGCCAGGCCTGTGAGATAAGAGGGAAGCAGGAATAGAAAGCCAGGATTGTAAACTGGTGGCATACAAGCTGTATTCAGCTTGTAGAGAAATTGTATTTGGGCTGCATAGTGTTTTTTTAAAAAACAGTGGCCAATAATTATAAATTGGGAGATTGGAATAAAAAATCTGGATTTCTGGCTTAAAAATTTTTTTTTAATTAATTATTTCCTGGCTTCATTTGAAAAAATTCATAAAGAGGGTGGGATAATAGGCGGCAGTAATCTTCTGGAACGGAGCGGCGGATGTTGCCTTTAGAAGGGGGGAGCATGTGCTCCTGTCAGTTCCTGCCTGGTTTGACTTCCTTCCGGCCTGGCTCTTGCCTTTCTGTGAGCTTGCTGGTCTTCATCTGTGAGTCTGGCACGGCCCTAGGCTCTCAGCAAGTGGATATGAGGCAGTGTAGCTCTGCAGCAAGGTCTGTAGCATAGTTCCCACTTTACAGCTGAGAAGACCGGGACTCAGAGGAGTCTATGGGCGGGAAGCCTAGTCGTATCTACCTAATGCATGCTCTGGCTGTACTGAGCCCTTCTGTGGGTGATTTCCATGTATTTATGTGCATGGTCATCATCCTAATCTTGGAGAATTACTGCGTATCAAACAAATTCTCCCAATACAGTGTGAGAACTTGTTAAAGCACATCTGTTGTCAAGATTTCCGAAGACATTCGTGAATTTGATTTTAAATGTAAAGCTCCCTCTGGTGGTTTTTGTGGTGCATTACATTTAAAGCAAATTTTAAACTTGTAAAATTGCGTTAAATGGCAAATTTTCAAGATTTCTTCCAATGTCATTTAAAGCATCTACCCAAACCTCACAGGTCTTTCTGTTAATCTCTCTTTAGAATGTTTTAGGAATTCTAAATTCACTTTTTTCAGTGTTTTATTATTTTTAGTTTAACATACTTTATAAAAATTAAATTTTATCACAGTTTTTTTATTTTTTTAAAGATTTTCTTTATTTATTTGACAGAGAGAGACACAGTGAGAGAGGGAACACAAGCAGGGGGAGTGGGAGAGGGAGAAAGCAGGCTTCCCGCTGAGCAGGGAGCCTGATGCGGGGCTTGATCCCAGGACTCTGGGATCATGACCTGAGCCGGAGGCAGACGCTTAACGACTGAGCCACCCAGGCGCCCCGAGAGGAACATTTTAAAATTTAACCAGGATGATTATGGTTCATTATGTGTCTTCTGACATTTTTGTTGAGTTACATAAAATGTAAATGTGGTATAAGGGAAAAAGCATAGGATTTCACTTTATTTTTTTCACCCCCCCCTTTTTTTTTAAAAAAGATTTTATTTATTTATTAGAGAGAGGGAGGGAGAGTGAGCATGAGCGTGGTGAAGGGCTGAGGGAGAAGCAGACTCTCCGCTGAGCAGGGAGCCCGATGGGGGGCTTGATCCCAGGACGCTGGGATCTTGACCTGAGCAGAAGGCAGATGCTTAACCGACTGAGCCACCTGGGCATCCCAGGATTTCACTTTAGAAGTTTGGTTCAGGTCTCATCTAAAGCACTTAGAGTTGTGTGACCTTGGGCAGTTCACCTTACCTTTCTTAGCCTCAGTTTCTTCCTCAATAAGATGAGGATAATAGTTTTGTTTTTTTATTTTAAGATTTTATTTATTTATTTGAGAGAGAGAAAGTGTGCGTGAGAGAGAGAGCACAAGCAGAGGGTAGGGGCAGAGGGAGAGGGAGAAGCAGGCTCCCCGCTGAGCAGGGAGCCTGATGCGGGGCTTGATCCCAGGACCCTGAGATCATGACCCGAGCCGAAGGCAGATGCTCAATGGACTGAGCCACCCAGGCACCCCGAGGATAATAGTTTCTGACTCTCTGACTTTTGAGGAGGAAATGAATAAAGAAGCAAGGCTTACGACGATGCCCAGTACAGGGCCTAATGCACAGTTAGGTCCCCCTAAATTCAGAGGCTGAAAAAGAGAACAAGGTGTATTCATCTTGCTTTTACTGTTCCATTTTTCCCCGAATAATCCATTTCCATGTCTGTGAATCAGTAAGAAAAGGGGGTTTGATAAACAGAAGTGGACATCTTTTCCTTTATGTAAGCAGTACTTTTATTTTACGTTTACGATGGCTGAATGTAGAAGATGTACGTGTTACTTGTTCCCTCTGAGCATGAGCCTCCTAGTCGAGTCTAATAGAAATCTTTGTAGTCTCTGATTCTGTATTCCAGAAACTCCTTGAAAATATAGAGCCTCTATTTATTATGTTAATTGTGCTTTTATTTACTATGAAAGTAATGTATATTCATTGTAAAAAATTTGGAAAATACTGAAGAGCCCAAAGAAAAAATAAAAATTTTTCAGTTCAGGGAAAATCATGTTTTGGTTAGGTATCTATACTTCTAGTCTTTTAAGTTGTTGGCTCACTCATTCATTGAATCCTTCTTTGCTTCCTTCCTTGTTACTAGTACACGTTCTCCGTAAAACCTAAGATAGAAGACAGGGATAAACTAAAAAAATACAAAAATTATCTGAGTTCCTACCACCCATAAGCAGTTGGTTCTAGCAGGTTACTATATGCCTTTCAAGCTTTTTTCCATTTACTAATACATAGTTTGTTCTGTAAAAATGGGATCATAGTTGTACATTCTATCCTGGAATACAACCTGTTGTTTTCATCTACCAGTGTGTGTTGAATAGTTTCCATTTGGAGCATTTCAAAATGAAAATCACCTTTTAAAAAATTATTGTAAAAGTAATGTGTGATCAATATAAAAATCTCCAACACTGGAAATGTGAAAAGAAGGAAGTAAATGTCACCTCATGTTTTGTTACTTAGACACATACGTTGTAAATCTTTGAGAACTATTTTTCCAGACCTTTTATACTATGACATTTTCTCATTTATGTATTTACAACGGTGGAATCCTGTGTGTTGTTTTGTAACTGACCCTGTTCACATAATAGTATATTGTTAATGTTGTTCCCATTAGTAGAAGAGCTCAGCATCCAGAGTTTCTACCTTGAGCTCATAGAGGAGTTCTGGAGACCTGTGACCCTCCTGACGTAGTAAAAAACCTGTATGTACACTTGTTATGAGTCAGGGTTCCACAGTGTCAATCAGTTTTTCAAAGGGGTCTGTGACCTATAAAAGTTAACCACTGATCAATATCAATTTTTGGTGGTATCACAGTATTCCATTCTCTAGATGGACCATAATTTAACCAATTTTGAACTTTAACAGTGTTGCTTGTTTTAAGGTATCATAAGGTATCCCATGAACCCTTTGGAACATAGGACATTTAGGTACTTGTGTGATTAATTCCTCATGCTGTATTCTAAAATAAATTCCTAGAAATGGAATTATTGAGTCAAAGGTATGCACATTTAACATTTTGATACACGTTGCCAAACCCACCCTTGAGAAATGTTGCACTGAGTTGCACTACCGTCGGTGTATGAGAAAATACCCCGTGATCTGGATGATCTAGAGCATAGCTAGGTCAGTTTATTTAGCTAGTTCTCTGTTTCTACTTTTTTGGCATCGTAAACGGTATTGCAGTAAACAACCTTGTGCATCCATTTCTGCATATTTGTCTGATTATATCCTTAGAATTTGATTCCTGGAAGTAGAGTTTCTGGATCTAAGGAATATAATAACTTCCAAAACAACCTGTTTGATGCTTTCAAAAGAATCTAAGATATGTTTTAGCTTGGAAGGAAACTAGCTGATTATTACTGATTTTATTTAAACAGCCTGTCTGGCAGGCAGTTGGTGTAGTGGGTCAGGCCCTGGACTGGGGTGGGAGTGGTGGGTTTGGTGATTCCCACGGCTCATCCCAGAGCCCTGTGACCTAGTCTTGACCCTGCTACTACCTCATGTGGCTTAGGACCAGTTTCTTTTCCTCTTTCTGGGCCTCTGTTTTCTTTTGAGACTGTTTCTAGAATCCTTTCCTGCTCTTTACTTTTTCACTTATAACTGGAAGATCTTTCCTTCCTTCCTCTTTCTTCCTTTCCTTCTTTCTTTCCTTCCTTTCTTTCTTTTGATTTTAATTTTTTAAAGTAATTCCTGTACCCAACATGGGGCTCAAAACCACAACCCCAAGATCAAGAGTTGCATGCCCTACTGACTGATCCAGCCAGGCACCCTTGGGATGTTCTTTGTGAAAGAGCAATTTGGTAGTCAGGGATGGGGGAAATAATTGGACTTGACTATTCTGGTTACCAAGAGTGCTCCCTGATGAGTAGTTATGTCTCAGACAGTCTACAGTTAGGACTTTTATTGGTTTTTGTGTTTATTTCTCTCAATTTTAATGATTATATCATTAGGCAAATTCATTATGTGTTGGTTTCATTTTTCTTTCCAAAGAGCTAAAGGCTCGGGGTGGAGGACTTTAAATCCAGCTTGTTTATTTAGCATAGTGATTCTAATGGTAAAAAATGGAACCACATACAGGGAAAGCAATCTGTAGAAGTAGAAAACCAACTAGGTGAGGGATCCAAAGAACAAATACATGCACAATTCAACAGAGGTAGGGTGGGGTGGAGAATGTATTCCCATCCCTGTTCCTGAAGAGGCATTGCTTCCTCCTGTGGGCAGTAGGAATGTGTTTTAGAGGCTATTGTGGAGTTATTTCATCATTCACTTCCCTGCATGATGAAATATTTTTATTTTACTCAATAAGAACTCACATCTATGATTATAATTTTGTGAATTTATTCAGAAGAGAAGGTGTTTTGACATGAGCCATTGTCCTGTGAGGCTATGATGAGGTGAGGTTGAGAATTTGAACAGCTTGAGTTTAGCAGCTCCTCAGTGTTCACTTTGAAAGTAGTTGATTTACTGATCCCTGAGAGGTGTGATGGGAAGGGTGCTGATAAATTTTGGAGTAAGCCAAGCTCAGTTGTGAGAGATCGGGCTGGCACTTAATGTCTTTGGGTTGCTTTTCTCTAAAGTGAGAACAGTTCTCTTTCTCCCCCCCCCCCAAAGATTTATTTATTTATTTGAGAGAGAATTTGAAGCAGATTCTGCACTGAGCGTGGAGCCTGATGCAGAGTTCAATCTCATGAGCCTGAAATCATGACCTGAGCCAAATCCAAGAATAAGACACTTAACCGAATGTGCTACCCAGGCGCCCTAAGAACGATTCTCTTTTAAAGGGAGCTGTATGACTGAGGAAATAAGCATGTTGGAGGACCTCACAGGATTGAGTCATTATGGGCTGATAGTGGATGTCTCAACTTATGTTGCTTCTGGTCTGCATTTTGTTCCCATCAAAACAGTAACCACTTCATGAAATAGTAGCAGTGTAAGAAAAGTCTTTTGTTGTCTGACTTCTCAAACAGCTTTTGGTTAAGTTACAGTGATACAAGTAGACTCATTTTTTTTTTTTTTTCTTATACATACTCTGATCACCAGGTATCAAGGTTACATTGGTGCAGCCCTAGTTTTGGGGGGAGTAGATGTTACTGGACCTCACCTCTACAGCATCTATCCTCATGGATCAACTGATAAGTTGCCTTATGTCACCATGGGTGAGTGTAAAATTTCCCTGATGTTTCAGAATCCTCTTATTTACCAAGGTGGTCTCTTAAAGAGCTGGTCTATTTCCTGTTAGAGGAGCCAGGGCAGTATAGTGCTTTGATTCATTCTACATATATTTATTGATTTCCTCCTACGGATTAGGCCCTGTTTTAAGTGCTTGGGATACAGCAGTGAACAAAATTTAAAGATTCTTGCCTGCAAGGAGTTTGTATTTTAGTGAGGGTAGACAGACAATAGCAACAACTACTATAAATATATTAATGTTAGAAAGTGATAAATACTAGGAGAAAAAAGTAATGCAGGTGATAATTGTACTACAGTTACGCAAGATAACTACTTTTGGGGAAAACTGGGTCATGGGTATACAGAAACTCAGTGTATTATTTCTTACATCTGCATGTGAATTTACCATTATCTCAAAACAAAAAGTTAGAAAAATTAATGCAGGCTAAGGGGATGTCGGAGTGTTGGGGTGGAAGGCAGAGTATCATGTTAAATAGGATGCTTCAGGTAGGTCTCGAGGTGAGGTTTCAGTGGAGGGAAACTAGAGTGGAGGTCTCATAGCAGGAACATGCATATAGGGCGTGCATTGAATTTTTTTTTTTTTTTTTAATGCTAGAGTGACTGGGGCCCTTCTTAATTTCTGAGATCAAAGGCATTTAATTCCTTTCTGAACCTTGATTGCCTCACCTGTGGAATGGTGTCAATAGTATTTACTGTATATGCCAGGTTGTGATAATTAGAAATAATGTATATAAAGAATCTGGCCCTCTGCCTGGACTGTAATAGTAGTTACTCTTTTCAGACCAGCTTTTTGCATTGGTACTTTGGTTCTCAGTGCTAGACAAGAGTTGTTTTTTTTTAATATTTTGTTTATTTGAGAGAGAGAGAGAGAGAGAGCACACCCACGAGCAGGGGGCTGGGGGAGAAGCAGGGATCATGACCTGAGCCAAGCTTAATCGACTGAGCCACCCAGGCACCCCAAGAGTTTTGTTTTTTTTTTTAATGACCACCGAAAAAAGGAGTGAGAAAATGGGGATTTTCAAATTCTAACTTTTATGTTAAATTTCTGAGTTGGATTGTTTAGTTACAGAAATTTGAACAGGTCATGTATAGCTGGTATTTTTCCAGCTGTTGTTTACCTCTTACATTTTTTGTCTTGGTATCTTGGCTCTGAAGAGCTAGGAGACTGCTGCCTTGAATAGTTTGGAAATTGCCAGTTTGAGACCTTGCTGTTCCATAGTGTCATCTAGCCTCTTAGAAGGTTTTTATACAACAGATGTTCCCTGTTTGTTGGGGAGAATGATTTACCCCCAGATACCATATGGATGAGTCTTTGTAATTATTTTAAAATGAAGATACTTACAGTAATTTTAGAATTGTTCTGAACTGCTTTATTCAAATATATTTGTTATCTTCATCAGAGTACTGTTTTTATTTCTCCTTGTCTGATTGATGCCTTTAAATGGTGGGAAGGGTGAAGTAGCTTTTTCTATTTAGTGGTTTCATTTCTTTTTTTTTTTTAACTGAAAAAAATTTTACAGTAACAGAAAAGTAACCATAATGTGCAATGAAAGTCATATATGCTCTTTACTCATATTTGTCAGTGAACATTTTACCACTCTTGCTCTCGCTTGCTCATACATTATTATTGTTCTTATTCTTAATTTTTTGTGTGGAATCATTTGAGAGTAAGTAGGAAGGAGCAGACACCATTACCTTCCACCTCTAAATCCTTTATGATGTTCTCTTACGTTACCTTGATAAATGATCACATTCAGGAAATTTAATACCATTACAAAGCAGGTTCATTTTTAAGAAGGAAAAATTGAATTGGTTTCTTTTGCCTTTGAACTGTAGTAATTTGTCTTCTGAGCACAATCCTGAATTTAGGAAAAGTTGTTGACAGCAGGCCGTCAGGCAACCCCACATTGTGTTCTCTCCTGGCCAACAGCGATCTTGCTGTTCCAAGTCTGCTGTGAGTCCAGGGTGATGGTTCCGCAGCCTTGAGTTCATAGCACGCTTGTGTTTAGAAATCATTGCTCTACACAGTCTAGTTTTGTTATCATAAAAGACCGGATTAAGGAGGAGATATCTGTAACATTTGATTTTAATACACAAGTAAATAATTATTTTGAGCTTTAGTTTGTTCATCTGTTCATTTATTTATCAACTCTCTCTTGCCTTCTGTGTCTAGGCACTGTGGCAGGCTCCGCAGATAGAGATGAATGCGTGGATCCTTGCCCTCAATATCCTCACGCTGTAGTGAGGGAGCCAGATGTACAAACTGACAAGGGCAGTAGGTACAAAGGCCAGTGGAGGCCCGGGGAGAAAGGATTACATCGAAATGGGAGGATTTCAGGAAAAGCTTCACTTCACATGAACGGAATCTTAAAAGAAGCATAAGTTACTTTTCGTTCATTTATCAAATACTTATTTAGCATTCACTATGGGCTAGGCATTGTGCTAGGTGCTGGGAATAGAGTGGTCAGCACAGCACCTGCCCTCAGAACTTACAGCCTCATGTGGGAGACAGGAATTAAAGTGGTATACATTCATCTAAAAGAATGCACTGTGCTAAGTGCCCTGGAGAAAAAGAACAGTAATAAGAGAGAGGAACAGGAAGGACTATGTGGATAATGGCTGTTTGGGACGTCCTTGCTGAGCAAGTGACGTTAAAACATTTTCTAATGAAAGTAATTTACGAACATGACAAAACGTTCCAAGTGGGAATATTACATGAAAAATAAGTGTTTTTCATATCCCTCCTCCAAAGTAACCACTCTTAAGTTTATTGTTTTTTCCAGAAAATGTTTTATGAAATACCATATAGCTCTGTCAGTCTGTGCCTATTAAAACTACACAAATGAAGTCATACTGTGCACACTTTTCCTTTATTGTTAACTTGTTTTGAAGAAGTTCTTTACCAGCACATGTAGATCTGTACTGTAATAACAGTTACATAGAAATGTGTTATATGGCTGTATCATGATTTACTGACCCATTCTATTGATGAATATTTTGGTTATTTTTGCAACGAATGTGTCTTGGTTTACTTAGGTAAGTACAGACTTCAGATAAATTCCTAGTGGAATATCAGGATTAGGGTATGTTTGTGTGTTGCTCAGAATTCTCTGTTGCAAAGCAATAGAATTAATGATTTAAGAAAAGAGGACTATGTTGTAAAGGATAGTAGGTGGCTTACGGAATAGCTGGGAGGGCACATGCTGGCTTTGGGGCCCAGAGCGGTGTCAGAACTCACGCTGCAGAGTAGACCACGGCAGGCGAGTACAGAGTGTTCCAGACTGCAGTCCTGCCCCAGCTGGAGCTGGCTTACTGCTGGGATGCTGGGGCCTGGTGCTGGGGCCTGCTCAGCCTCCCTGATGGTTTCAGGAACCCAGTCTGCCTGCCATCCCTTTCACCACTGCCAGAGCGTTCCTTATAGGGGAGGGTGATTGGTGAAGCTCAGTCATTCACTCCTGAAGTGTTGGGATTCCCTGGACGTAGGAAGGAAGTCATACTATATATACTGCCACTGGTCAGCCCAAGAAAGTGACAGAGGGCCACGTAGTGCATTCTGCTTTTTGAGAGCTTTTGCCACATTGCCCTCCAAAAAGATTGTACTAGCTTATATTTCTACCAAGAGAATATGAGGATGCCTTTCTCTTTTTTTTTTTTTTTAAAGATTTTATTTTTATTTATTCATTTGAGAGAGAATGAGATAGAGAGAGCATGAGAGGGGGGAGGGACAGAGGGAGAAGCAGACTCCCTGCCGAGCAGGGAGCCCGATGTGGGACTCGATCCCGGGACTCCAGGATCATGACCTGAGCCGAAGGCAGTCGCTTAACCAACTGAGCCACCCAGGCGCCCCAAGGATGCCTTTCTCTTAACAACCTTACCAACACTGGGTATTTGTGCCAGTCTGATGGGTGAAATTTGGGAAGAGGGAACACGTAAGCGGAGACCTGAAAGGTAGGTAGGAATTAGCCAGGAATTCCTCGGCCCTGCTCCCTGTCCCCAGGGAACGACTTCAGGCCCTGTGTGCATGAGGGTCTGGTGTGGCTGAGGAACTGAAGGGCCAGAGTTGGTTGGTTGGGTGAGGCCAGTGCACTGGGTGGGGGTAGTGTTCAGTGCAGGGGTGCAGCGGAAGCAAAGGCGTTCTGGAGGGTGGAGCAGAGGTACGACTAGAAAGCGAGGCTGGAGAGAGGGTCCTAGTGATACAGGCCCAGTTGTTTGGATTTTGTCCTTGAGGTTCCCATCTAAAGTTTTCATGCCAGAGAAGGATGGGATGAGATTTGCTTGTTAGAGCAGTCTTAACGGCTGTAGGAAGGAGGATTGGCATGGGGGAGTCTGGAGGCAGAGAGGGAGATTGCGTCTGGCCAGAAATATTGACGGTGTGGCTGGGTCCCGTGACAATAGGGACGGCTCCTGTCAGAGAGAGCACTTGGAAATGAACCAGCCATTAGGCCAGATCCCAGGTGTCCTCTCCTGATTTCTCAGTATCAGTCCCTTCCTGAGTCTTGACTACAGAGGCCCAGTTAACTCCTTCACGTGGGGCCGTTGCCCTGCAGGTGGACTCTAGGCCTCTTTTCCTGCTTTGTTTCCTGTCCCTCCCCTAGGCCTTTGTGGCAACAGGGGCACCTGTACCTCTCACCCTCCCCTGGGCAGGCTCCACCCCACTGTTGTAGTGCTGCCTTCCTTCAGAAAGGCCTTTTCTGCCCCACGTGTTCCTGCTCCTCAGCTGGGGTCTAGCCCAGAAGCCATTCGCTCGTGACTGCCCCAGGCTGAGTTAGCAGGTCCCTGTCCGGGACATAGGTGTGAAACAGGATTCCAGGATTCCCGCCTTGTCTGCACTCCACTTGCCCCAGCTCTTGTCCCTCCCGCATGTGTGAACATTTGAGATCTCAGAGAATAGAATCTGTCTTACCTCCGGTCTCACAGAGTCCTGTGTGACTTGGTGAATATTTGACGGTGAAATAGTGTTCTGGTT